AACAATCATTACTAACAGCAATGTTTTGGCTGCATCTTGAACCACTGTGCAGCGTTGAAGTTTGTTGAAGTCCTTCTTGCGCGCCTGTTTGACTTTGTCATTAGCAAATGCACTTGAGGCAGTGCAGCGAAAACGAAGCCAAGTGAAATACTTCAGGGATTTATGCATCCCTGTCGTTGTTGCCTGTTGTCGCATTGTCCTGCCACTTCCGCTTCATGCGGCCTCTCATTAAAGTTTGAGGCAAGCAGCCGCATTGTTACATTGTTCGCAATAACGGCTGCCAAAAGGGGCAACTTGAGGCGTGAACAAGGCAACCGAAACTTATTTACAATTAAACTGTTGCCTACTTTGAATATTGAATAAATATGCTAAGCTCGAGCAGCAGCTGGCGGCACAGCACCGAGAGCACTTCCTGTCGACACTTTGCGCCTGCAGAGCCGCCCGCCCTCTCCCGCTGCCGCTGCCGCTGCCTAGTGGCAGTCCACAGCTGGGCAAATGCAATTGCACAATTTCCAATTGTGCGCAAAATGTTGGCCAAAATGCTGCATAAATTGTTTTGGCAACAAGTCAAAGCAGCCGGATCGGCAGTCGAAGCTGGCGATGCCAAGCCGGAAGCAGCTCAAAGGAAGCTGCCTACCAAGGCGCAGCTGGAGCCAATTCGAGCCGGGTTGACAATGGCCTATCGCAAAATTGTGGCTAACGAAATAATGGAATCAGTCGTATATTCTTTCTTTAATCGGTATACTGTTAAAGTTAAAAGGGGTAGTTTAGAGCTGGGCCTAAGGTAACTTCTAGTCTGTTTTTAAATACTAAGCTAAACTTTTTGCTTTCTACTCTCTTTAAAAACTTGCTGCCATTGTTGTCGCCATTAACAAAACTTCCAAATAATTTTACTGAGCTTCAGTTGCCCATGCCATTTGCCAGGTGGTCGGCCGTAGTCCTGCAGCCTTGGCCTCTGGCATGGGGCACTTGGGGGGCAGCTATGTAACAGGTTGCAAAGGAGATTAGGCAGTCAGAAGTGTAACAGCTGCTGCTAGAGCTGCCTTCGCATTTTTTTATCCTTTCGGGCAGGGGTCATACTCCCAACTCAAACACTGCCCTGTTGAGGCCTTCATTTGTAAGCTATGTCAGTCAGGCGAGCGAACGAACAAGCGGACGGACGAGCTTAAGCCCTCGACCTGGCGCACACAACACTTGAGCTGTAGCAAAAAGGTGCGCCACGCCCCAGTTGGGGCGGACAGGAGAGTCGCATTCAATAGGCGCTTTTGTACTTTGCAAAAAAGCAAATATTTATATTTCAGCTTGAATGCCTGAACGATTGAACTGAGAGCGAAATTTGAACTGTAGCAAATCACACGCGTTTGATTGATTGATGAATCGGCAGAAAGGTTACCCGCCCCTTCTCCCTAGACATTTAATATTTATACAAAAAACACAGAAAGAAAAAGGGAAAATATCAAAAAGCAAGCAAAAGCTGTGCGCACAAAGGCTGATCCCTCATTGTTACAGCTTCACAGTTGCCATTAATATGCATTGTCGATAAGGAGAATAAAGACGTACCCACCATTTACATAGCCAACCATTTAGCTGTACCTCTATCTGTCGGGTGCTGTACGAAATCAAACAAACGCAATAAATCAACGCAAACGAAATGAATTTTGATTGTCATTGATTTATGTGCATTGCAGTTGATGGCAACTAACTTGGCTGAAGACACGCCCACAGCACACGCAATAAACCAATAGATAATCATGACAAGAGAGATTGTATGCCCTGTACGATTTGAAAGTGCCTAAATTGGGTATGCTCAAGTTGAGACAACATATAATATAATTGGATTTTCTAATTTTCTTAGCAAGCACCTCGTTTAGCACAGCTTGTAAGACTCATGTAGATTCTGGTACACTCAACCAATCCAATATATTTTGTACAGCTTGAATAGAGAAGAGTGTGCAGCTTGCGGTGTGTGTATACGTTTCTATATAAGTACTAAAGGATTTATATAATACCCTCTACTAGCAAGAAGCCTCATCTGGAAGACAGCAACAAAAAAAAAACTGAAAACAATTGCACGCATTTTACAAATCTCTTTCAACATACTTTCTACGATTAAAACGTTTATTATTACAAATTTATTTAGTCTTTGAATTTTTAAGGGCCTCCTGTACATGATTTCTGGCTAATTCTAAATTTAAAATTCATTAAAATTGTTGCGCGTCAAATTCGCGAAATAATTTATAAAGAAATATTTCAAAGCGGGAATTCGACTGAAGGCAAGAAAGTTGTTATTGTAATTCCAGGAGCGTATTTCAAAGACAAAGTCTTCGTGCGCTCCTTTGGCTATTTACCCAAAACACAGAGAAACCTTTTAAATATAGTAATAATTCATTAAATTGCATTCCACTCGCGGAACGCGGTCAAAAGAGTAGAAAAACATGTTGCTCGCTTTTAGGCGCGGGCGTAATTTTGCATGTTGTGAGTGTTCCATGGAAAATGCTCCTTATTACCACACTCTCGTTGGCCGCCCGCTAATTGTTAAAACTTGCAATAACAATAAAACAAATGCTAAAGCCAAATGTCTGCGGCGTTCAGTCAGTGCGCCAGCCAGTCAGTCAATGTGTCAGTGCGTCAGTTTGTCAAGTGAAAATTAATTTTGAAATGCTGTCGGGCTGTCATCAGCTCTGCTGCTGTTGTCGCTGTAGTTGTAGTTGTTGTAGTTGCTCATTGCTATACGTGACCCAGCAAAATTAATGCTGATGGGCTGGCTTGGTATATGGGGGGGCGTGGCTGTATAAATTATAAGCCTTGAACTTTTGACAAGCGTCAAGGCAGCGCCGAAAAACAAGTGCTTGAGCCTATTTGGCAGCTCTGATAATCACACGGCGTATGAGTGATATTTATTTAATGCTGAGATATACACACATACACACATGTACATGAGTGTGGGTGTGTGTCTGTGTGTGTGTGTCTGTGTGTGTGTGTCTGTGTGTGTGTGTCTGTGTGTGTGTGTCTGTGTGTGTGTGTTTGTGTAGTAAGTAGTTATGCAAATGTTAAGCACACAGCCGCCTTTTGACCTGAAAAAGTCAATACGAAAAACTCTGCACATGGCCGCAGCAGAACATCCAAACACATCCACCCACACACACTCACACCCACTCACACACGCAAACAGTCGAATATAGATGCAAATACAACAAACAACAACAACGCATCGCTGAGCACTCGTCTTACTCGTTTGCTGTCTGGAACATTGGCCAACAGCTGAGGCAGCCACAGGCGACAAAAGTTTTACTTTTGTAATCTTTCCAATTGAGAAATGAAAAGATTTTGCATATAAATATATCTAGCTGCGGGAACCAATCGCTAGCTTTTTGTGTTTGCCAAACTAAATATGCAAATTTTATGAAACAAATCAATTCTATAAAATCATGAACAAATTTGCTTTTAGCTGGGTTAAGGCCTAAATCGCATAATAAAATGGGAAAATGCGTCTTTACATCTTTAAATGGATCAGAAGATTACGTTTAAGGATTAGCTTGGTGCAGACGATTTTGATTGAATTAATCATGAGTCTTTAGTTGGAATAGTTCATAATAGTTTTGATCAAGAGCTTTGATTAAGATAAAACAGTTGAATCAGCTGAAAGATAATCGAATCAATCATAACTAAAAATCAGCAAAATTGCTACATTTGACATATTCTTTTGTTTTTTCTCTATGAACAGAACCTTATTATACAAATATATATAGTCAAATTTAAAATACCAATACTTAAAAACAAAGCTGATAAAAGTATTATTAAAATTATTTATTAATTTACCTTAATTCAATATTTGTCCCGTCCCGAACCCGTCACATTTGCCGGCTGTCGTCTGGTCTCCCTGACTACTGGATCCCCTACCAAGACGAAACGCAAAGAAAATCGAATTGCGAAAGTGTAAACTTAATTAAGAGCATTGCGAGGAGAGTTGATTTTGTTTGATTTACGCGCCAGCAGCCCTCTTCACTGTAATTATATAGCCTTCGCCTACTGCATACCATATATAAATCTATATATATACGTACAGATGGAGGTCAAAGGCAATGCGTAGGCGGCCCAGGGCCAGACGTCAAGCGGTGGCCAGCTGTCGCTGATTACCCAAAAGAGGAAAAAAAAAATGGTAAGGACGCAATCCCTGGCATTTCATGGCTCATTAGGCATGCACATACGTTTGCACCCGCGTCAAGAGCACAAAACCCAATACGCTGGGTCGCTAATACAACACTGCCCCAGAGCCCATACCCCAACCCTATTTGCAGCACCCCACCTCTGGTGCTTCCCGCTGGCAGCAAATTCAATTTTCTACGACGCCGATTTGGTTTCCGCACGTCTTAAGCTATCGTCGCCACCTTCTGCAGCGCTGCCATGAATATAGTTATAGCCCAGCCAAGTTCAGGTCCTTCTCGCTCGCTCTCTCTAGCTCTCTCTTTCTCTCTCGGTGTGTAAGGCACTCGATACCGATTTGCGCTGCAAAATAAATGATAAGAATCTGTGTGCGCGCTTGCTCATGAATTACAAATCGCATAAAGGATTTGCCACTAGCTCAAGAGGACGACTCGACTGCAGCAGCGCCAGGATGCAGCTTGTTTGTTTTAGATGCGAGCAAGAGCTGCGGAAGTGAGGCTTTTTTCGGACTTGAAAGCGTTATAGTGTGGCCAACTCAGGCTATTTTCAAAAAAAAAAAAGTTAAACAAAAATTGCTTTTGTTTTAAAATTAATTAAAGCTGTTTGTCCTTTATCCATTAATCCTTAGACTAGTTTTTTTTTTAAGTTTTTTTAATACTCACATTAAGCTCTTTCGGTTTCTGAAAAGTTGGCAGCCCTGGCACGTCAAACACGTTTGCAGGCTTTTTGTGTTTACACTTGTTTACAAGTGTTTTTATAATTCGCAATTGGTTTAAGCACTTTTACCATCAAGTAGGAATATATAGTTGTTTTTTTTTTGTTTTTTTTATAAAATGTAGAATTTGTCAGCTGCTTTATTATGACTAAATTAATTTTTGTCTTAGCCCTAGTCGTTAAATCGATTAATTATTATTTTTTATACGAATCAGATTGTTGAGTTCTCCAGCATTATTTTTAACTATATTCTAGAGCTTATATTATTATATATTTATATATATATATATATGTACATCTATTATTTTTACATTGCAGAAAAAGTTGTCGTCATTCGCGTTTGTAGAAAAAATTATTATCACCGTTTTTTTTCTCTCTAAATTGTTTAGTCGAAATTGAAATTCTTGTTGGAATTTTGTGTACAATTTTTTAATATTTGCATTTTTTTAAGTATGCTTATAGGAAAATAGCCATTCTAACAGTTCTAAGTAGACTAGTTCTTGAAATTTTACAATAGATTATTGTTCTTGGTATTGTTTGCTTCTTATAGGTATATTATCAAGATACGACAAGTTTATAATTCGGAATAAAAAAAATGGAATAATATTTTACGAGTAAAGGCAGGGCTTTTCCATATGAAATTTAGAACAATAATTGGAATTGGAAAACTTTGGGGAGGAGAAACGAAACATTTGTTCTTAACCTTTTTAAAGTTTTGTGGTTTACGGAACAGCCATTTCTTTGGGTTTTATTATATATAAAAAAGCATTTGCGGCAGTCGTTGTGGTTAGTATATATATATATATATATATATATATATAGAACATTTATGAACTAACCTTATATGGCAAGTTAAAGTTTATTTTCTATTATGAGCACAATTCAGACAGTTCAACTTCAGGTGTGTGTGTGTGTGTGTGTGAGAGAGTGTGAGTTTGTGTGTGTGCATGTGTGAAATCCTGGAATTTTACAAACTTCTTAAGTTGCGCTCTTAAAATATTCTAAGGCCACATTTAATTTTATCTTCTTTAAATATATATATTTATAATACTAAATTTATTGAGCTGCCTTTCCTATGAAAAAGCATAATATGATAAGGGGATGAAGAAAATGCGAAAAGCGAAAATTAAATGATGCGACAATCATTTGTATTATGTACACATTAATTATGACAAATGTGAGAGGAAAGAAAAAGAAACAGGTGCAGAGAAAAGAACAAAATTTGTCGAGCTGCGTAAATATATCTTAATGAGCCATTATTTAACAAAGACCGCAAATGTAAACAGAGATAAAGGTGTATAAGTCAGGAATATAAATTCACCAAAATATTCATTAGGTAGTGCCAAGTGTTTCACGATTAACAAAATAAATATATAAACAGGAATAGAAGACGTATCTATAGTAAAGCAGGAAGAGTTATTCAATAAATGCGATTTTCTGAATTACCAAGAGACGGCAAAAGTTATTGAATAGAGTCGAAAAGGTTATGAAATCATAAAGCATTTCTCAGAGAGAGTATTTTCTATATAATGGGAATGGGAAAAACATGTTGGAGAGCTCATTTAGAATATACTTAAGAATAATAAAGAATTAATAAATATATGTGAACTTGAGTAAGAAATACCTTCAAGTGAATTTAAAGTATGTGATAAATGTATTGTAGTTTAGTAAAATGTAAAATTCGAGTCGGAAGGAATATATTTAGCAAATGTTAAGAAATTGTATAGGAACTCTAAAACAAATAGTTAACAAGGGAAATATTTAAATCATATATGAAAAATGCAACGAAAAGAAAGTTGTCAGATTAATGTTTGATATGCGAATAAGCGCAGCCATTCACAAGTATATAGAAATAAATAAAATGTGATTTCATTCTAAAGAATACGTTATAATAATAATAATATAATACGCTCAATCAGCTCATAGAACACCCATGAGATAAATGTATATAAGGGATTAACGATTAATTAAAAAGAAAAAATAGAATGTACATTTCAATAAATTAATATATGATGCGAATCGAAGAGCAACGGAAAGAATATATTTATCAAATGTTCGGAATTCGAGTAGGAAATGTTAACAACGAGTGCAATCGAATTAAGGGAAATGTGCAAAGAGAAGCCAAATCAACGGCGATAAAAATAATTAAAATTGAAAATGATGAATCAAAATCTGAATAAAATTGTAAATGCTGAACAGCTTATAAAAGAAGTGAAGCACGCGAATCGAATAGGAATGAGAAAGATTTGGGATTTAAATGGGGGAAAAAAACTGAACGCGAGAATCGAATGAGAATGCGAATAAAATGTCTTTCTTTTTCAGCTCATCAAAGCTCCTAACCTAGCAGCATAAGCGTAAGTGTAGCTTGGCAATATTCTAATCATAGTTACATATATACAGCCCATAAGAAGAGTGAGAAAGGGTATAGGTTGTAGGTGTGTCCACACCAATACATGTGTGTGTGGGTCTATATACCCTTGTCCGAGTTGCATGCGCATTATCACGCCACGATGGCGGCCATTGTTGACGGGTGATGCGACAAGTCGGCCGCCGTGTGATGATGATGATGATGATGATGATGATCAGGTTGTTGATGATGATGTGCCTCCGCCTGGCCAGAAAGTTGTGCTTGTTGTTGTGGGTGATGGGAAATGTGATGGACCGGAAAGCTCCACAGTGCAAAAGGCATCTGCTGTTGCACCAACAAAAGCAGTTGGCGTAATTTGTTGGTCGTTGTTCTTGCTGTTGTTGTTGTTGTTGTTGTCAACCTGCTCGTTGTTTGTGTTCTTGTTGTTGTTGTTGTTATTGTCGTTGCCGCTGTTTCAGTCGCTGCTGCATCACATGCCGCAGCCATGCCGTCGCCGTCGCTGTCAGCATCCCGCGTCAGTGGCACCTGCTTGGCGCAGCGCATCTGCAGCTCGCCGCGTCGTCATTCATCCCAGAGGCACTGTTGTTTCTGCCGCACATAATAGGTGAACTGTGTACACTTGCGGCAGGTCTTGATGCCGCAGCGATAATTCGTCTGCTGCTGCTGTTGCTGCGTCCCGGACGTGTCGCCCCCCACGCTCTTGCCCTTGCAATACTTCAGTCCGCACGGATACCAGCCGATGCAGGTCTCCAGCGTGCACAGGCAGGGCGCCCACAGGCTGCTCACTTCGTTGCAGCGCGTGGAGAGCGCGTCGGGAAATTTTTCGGTTGCTGCCTCCAGGCTGGAAATCGACGAGCCTAACCGTGCAACAACAGTATAAAAACACCACCACGTGCATTGACAAAAATGAGTGCGCAAAAATAAGAAGCGAAAGAAAGGAAAACAAAATGCAAATGAAAATTGTGTAAGTAAAACTTGAATTCACAAATACGCGCAAGCAGCTCTTCAGCAATTTTCCATTCGATTTTCAGCAACTTATCACAAGGGAAAGCACGAACTTGAAACCATTCGATTTTATGATAGAACAAACTGATAATGGCTATTTTCTAATCGGAAACAATCAGCTTTCACCCATTTCCCAAGCTTTAGTGTGGATCTTCCAATTGATGTGTTGTGGTCCCTATTTTCAATGCGAAGAGCGAAGTCTCCTGAAATATATCTTAAGAAATTAACTACAAAGCGATCGGATCAAATCGATATGGTCGATTCATATTTTGATTTTCATGAGAAACAATCTGCCCAGCCTACCCAGAAGAAATATAAATATTGTTGTATGATAAAGCCCATGCATTTCCCGAACGAGTTGGTGGATTTGTAATGTGAATGTGATTGTCATAAAAAAAAGAGCTTTTCACCAATTTTCCACCAATGTTTGCGAAATTTATCATCACAAGAAAAAGAAACAGCTATGAAATATGTCCATTGCTAATTCTACTTCCGCAAACCATAAAACTAAAACCGAATCTCTAATCTATTTTAAGATCTCAGCATTTCACTTGCGATCAGTCAATAAAAATCAGTTGGAAATACCTTTCGTGGATGCTGTCAAAGTCGCGTCTGAAAATAGTTAGGAACTTCGACTTACCTGGCAATTCCGCCCAGGCCTTCAAATCCACATCCCGCACATAGGTGGCATCGGTGGCCTCCGCGCAGAGGGATTGCAGATGCCGTGTGATGGGCAGCGAGCGATTCAGCTGGACCCAGCTGCTCATGGTGTAGGTCTCGCGTCCCTTGTCCTCCTCGGGTGTGCGTATGGTGTGCGGGTTCTTTTGGCGCAGCTTGGCCATTGCATCCGATGAGATGAAATCGCCCTTGTTGAATTTGGTGGCAAAGCACATGACCTGATACTGGCTCTGGCCGCGCTCCTCCTCGCCCAGCACCAAAGCCTTGAGGATTTGCACCTCCTGAAAGAAGATTGTTGTTGGTATCATTTCTCATTTTTAGTCTCGAGTTTTTATTTTGTTGCGCTTACGTTGCGAAAGTCGATGAGCTGCGTGATGAGGGTGCCGTCGGTCTTCTGAAACTCGAGGGTAATCAAATCCTCGCCAATATTGGACGTAATGCTCTCCTGTATAACTTCGCCGCCCTGCAAAACCAAGAGGGAGAGCGGGGGATATGCAACAAGTGTAAGAAAATTCAACTAGACTCTGTGGTGTTCACTAGAATATTAATAGAGACAGAAATGGAAGCACACAAGACGCTGCTGCTGCTGTTGCTGCTATCGCTGCTGCTGCCAGGACACAAATTAACTTGGACTGCCGCAGGAGCAGCGCGACACGGCCCTGAACCAAATTAGAGTCAAGAGACTCGGGTAAAAGAAATAGTGAGAATGCAAACATAAGAAAAATAAGGCAAAACGAGTTGAGGGTTTCTCTGAACTCGACTCAGGGGGGTCCATCACAAATGTAGTTCAACAACATGACAAGCAGAATACACAACAACAACAACAATACGAACAACACAAAAGGATTGTCCATACGAACGCGCTCCCAACTGAACTTTTGCGCGTGAATAACACACTGAAAGCAACATACTTTTTCATCAGAAGCAGTTCTGTACAAAATCTGTATAACTTTGGGAAATTCAATAGTTAATGGCGTTTTATTATGAAGATTAGCTGTTCTTTTTTTAAATTTAAGTTTCAGAAAATCAACTTCAATGAGAGCATATGTTCTTATTGTTTAGTTTTTTTAAATCTGTACTATAGGAAAATTCTATTTTATTGTAATGTTTCTTTGTAAAAAATTTCAAATCTTGATTTTTGGTGAACGCCCGGAAACAGCCTTTTGTCTTCATTGTCATGAAATATAAAGTTCAATTTCCCATTAATATTTAATTTTATTCAATCTAAACATTTCAAAATATTCCCATATGTTTGTATGCATTTATAAACAAGGAAAAATATTGATTTTTCGAAACTTGTTAGGGAAAATGTTTGTTGGCCATAATATTCGTTAAATAAATACCCTTTGTATGGAAATGGAAATAAAAATGTTGTCTGAAAACGCATATATTTATGTGAACATCAATAGATATTTGTGCGCACATTAAAAATTCTATAAAATTGTTAAGCACAAACATTACGTTATGTAGAAAACAATATTAATTTCTGCCCTATATTCACTAGAAATTAACGTTGCATTTTCAAGCTGTTTATTATGCGTGACCTTTGTACACGCAAATTTATTTCTACATTGAATTCACGTTTCCAAATCCAAAAAGTTCTGCTGGGTGTGCACGTGCATATATATACTTGTGTGTGTGTGCGTGTGTGTGTGTGCGTGTGTGTGTGTGTTTAATGCGGTCTGTTTGTGTATGCAATGCCTTTGTGTGTTTGAACAAAGCGAATGTAAACAAAGCTCACGCTGAGAGCAAAAGCAACTGCGACGTCGGCAGCGACGTCGACAGAGTCCGACATTTTGAGGCCAGGGACAGCAACAAAACAGCAGCCCGCAATGTTAAAGGATGTCACATGTAAACAAAAAATATAGCATAAGAACGCTCTCTCTCTCTCTCTCCCTTACACTCGCACACACACAAATAGGTTGAGGAGCCTTTTCTGTTGTACGCGACTTTTTGGCAAAGCCAATATAAAATTTATAGAATAGCCAAAGCAAATGTCAATATTATGATGCGATGTAAGACACGTGGTATAAAATAAGTTGGCAAAAACTAAAAGTCCAAGCCTTCGACGTGACTGGCATTTAAATAAAATAGTTCAAGGACAGTTCACTACATTTATCAATTGAGTGGAAAAAGCGTAGGTTTCATCAATTAACAGTTTTAATTAGTTCATAGAAAACAAAGCAAAGAAATCGCAGCTGATGCATAATAACAACAAATGTTTGCCAGCGCTTTCTCTCTCTCTCTCGCTCCCACTCTCACATTGCAGTGCACAGTTCTCTCTCACACTTGTTTTGACGCGCTCAATTTCGAAATTGAATGTTCGAAAAGCAGCAGCAACGCCAGCAGCGCTGTCGGCGTCGGCGACAAAAGGCCATTTTGACATTCACATTGCAAACAAATAAAGAACATGTATATAGAAATAACAAATTCAAGAGCAAAACTCACCTGATTTTGTACATTAATCAGCAGCTGCGCATCGCTGATATTCGGCGTAAGCAACAAATTGCAGAGTACGAACCAGAGGAAACCGCGACTGTGTCTGAAGAAATGATAACAACTGACCGAACGCCTGCCGCAGCGTCGGCGTCCCGATAGGCGGCAAGTGTTGAGCACATTGCGGTGCACCGTATGCCATTTTGATGGTTTCACTTGCCGAATTCTTGGCTTTTTTGATACTAAAATCATTTCGGCTGTTTACACAGTGCAATAAAACACCGCACTTTTGTTTGCACACACACACGCACTTTGATTTTGTTTGCGTTAGAAAATTACGCGACGAATTTATGCTGTTGCCGGCCGCACACGTCCGCTCGCTTCGAAAGTTCAACGCAAAATAACAACAGCTCTGTCGACCATAACATAAATGCTCTCTGAGCTGACAGCAGTTTCGCTCATGAACGAACCAGTTACCGTCTGGTGAAATCAGTGCTGCTCATTTGTGCACACTAAGCGGGAATTTATTTTGTAATATTAGTTGCAACTGAAGACTGTTTATAAACGAAAATGCGCTTCATATAATTAAATGATTTAATTTCTGACTACACTTCAACGAATGACAATTGCAAATTGCTTGTGCGTTTGACATCTGACGTCTGTCGGCAGCGAAGCATCAGCTGTACATTTCGATATCTCTTAACACGGTCGCAATATAAATGTATCGTGCGACCACCACACTTTCTTAGCTAACAGCTGTTTCTCATGTAATGCACTAAATTTGCCCAAAACGCGTTTTGGACGTTTGTGACGTGTTGTATTTTGTAAATTATGTTTTAACATAATTAAGTTAATTAAATTCGAACTCATTCGCTGGCATTTTAATATCCAAACACAGACAACATGTTAACATTGCGAGAACGGCAAATAAGTGCGCTATTTTTCACCCAACGACTCCCAACAATTGATACAAATAATCTTCAATTCTGCCTTCGTTTACAGATGCGATTAAGCAAATGCTTAATTTAAACTCGCAGCAGCCAAAGGCAATGGCCGCGGAGCCCGTGTGGAAGATTCTCATATATGACCGCGTTGGCCAGGACATTATATCGCCCATCATATCCATTAAGGAACTCCGCGAACTGGGCGTGACGTTGCATGTGTGAGTAATTATTGAAGGGGAGGGTCAGGGTTCAAAAAAAATGAAAGTCAAATGAAAATTGTTGCTTTTAGGCAACTGCACTCGGATCGGGACTCCATACCAGATGTGCCGGCTGTATACTTTTGCCTGCCCACGGACGAAAATCTCGATCGCATCCAGCAGGACTTTTCCAATGGCCTTTATGACATCTACCATCTGAACTTCCTGGCGCCTATCACACGCAGCAAAATCGAAAATCTGGCGGCGGCTGCCCTGCACGCTGGTTGCGTGGCAAACATTCATCGGGTCTATGATCAGTATGTGAACTTCATCAGCCTGGAAGATGATTTCTTTATACTGAAGCATCAGCAGAGCGATCAGCTCTCCTACTATGCCATCAATCGTGCGAATACGCGTGACGAGGAGATGGAGGCACTGATGGACTCGATTGTGGATTCACTTTTCGCGCTCTTCGTCACGCTGGGCAACGTGCCCATCATACGCTGTCCACGCAACAGCGCTGCCGAAATGGTGGCCCGCAAGCTGGAGAAGAAGCTGCGTGAGAATCTGTGGGATGCGCGCGCCAATCTCTTTCACATGGATGCCACACAGGCTGGTGGCGGCGTTTTCAGCTTTCAACGTCCTGTGCTGCTGCTGCTCGATCGCAACATGGATCTGGCCACGCCGCTGCATCACACATGGTCATATCAGGCGCTGGTGCATGATGTGCTCGACCTGGGCCTGAATCTCGTCTACGTAGAGGATGAGGCGGCAGCTGTCAGCACAGGCAAGTAGCCAATGTACAACTGATTAACCTTTGCCTCGTAACAATTGACCTCTTCTTTAGGTGCACGCAAGAAACCCAAGGCCTGCGACCTGGATCGCAATGATCGCTTCTGGGTCACGCACAAGGGCAGCCCGTTTCCTACAGTTGCAGAGGCCATACAGGAGGAGCTCGAGTCCTATCGCAATTCTGAGGAGGAAATCAAACGCCTGAAGACCTCCATGGGCATTGAGGGCGAGTCAGATATTGCCTTCTCGTTGGTCAACGATACGACTGCCATGCTGACCAGCGCCGTCAATTCGCTGCCCCAGCTGATGGAGAAGAAGCGTCTCATTGATATGCACACTAAGATAGCCACAGCTATATTAAACTGCATTAAGGCGCGACGGCTGGACTCTTATTTTGAGATCGAAGAGAAAATCATGTCCAAGCAAACGCTGGATAAGCCACTGCTGGAGCTGCTGCGCGATGCTGAGTTTGGCCAGCCAGAGGATAAGCTGCGTCTGTACATCATTTACTATATTTGCGCACAGCAGCTGCCCGAGCCGGAGCTGGAGCGTCTGCGTGAAGCGCTGCAATCCGCCGGCTGTGATCTAACCGCGCTCGCCTACGTCCAACGCTGGAAATCCATTATGAACCGCTCGCCGAGCATCAGTCAAGCCACACAATACGAGGGCGGCGGCACCAGAACCGTTTCCATGTTCACCAAGCTCGTCTCGCAGGGCAGCTCCTTTGTCATGGAGGGAGTCAAGAACTTGGTTGTCAAGCGACATGTAAATATTAACTAAAGATTAGGCAGTGCTAGAGTTAAAGCTAAATTTATTCCAAATTTCTTGCAGAATCTGCCCGTGACCAAGATAACGGAACAGGTCATGGAATGTCGCAGCAATGCCGAAACAGATGATTATCTCTACTTGGATCCCAAACTGCTAAAAGGCGGCGATGTGCTGCCCAAGAATCGTGCTCCATTCCAGGACGCTGTTGTCTTCATGGTCGGCGGCGGCAATTATATTGAGTACCAGAATCTAGTGGACTTCATCAAGCAGAAGCAAACGTCCAATGTGCACAGGCGCATCATCTATGGCGGCTCCACGCTGACCAATGCGAGGCAATTCCTCAAGGAGCTGTCCGCACTGGGTGGTGAAATACAGACGCCCACAGCGAGTTAGGAGTGGCTGCTTAACTTTCACTGCTGCTGAGCGGTCGGGGATAAGGACGGGAATGAGACAACAACAGGAACTGTGTGTGTGTGCATGTGTGTGACTTTTTCTTATATATACATATATATATATATATTAAGCATATCCAAAAATAAATGAAATGCAAGGCAAAAAGTGGACGGCTCTGGTGCCGTGGGCAATTACTCGAACTTGACGCGTAATCCCCGAAGGACAACAAGCAAAAACATGCGTAGCCGCGTGTACAACAAGCGGCAGCTAGCTAGGAGGAGGGGGCAACAACAACAGCAACAACGACAGCAACAGCAGCCGCTCGCATTCTAGGCGCCCATTAACACCAACTTGGCAACGCTTTGATGGACAGCTCTGACAGACAGCAGTCAACGGCAGCACCAGAAGACGACCACGACGACGACGGCGACAACAATTATGGGGCGACAACTATGCGCGGCACTTGGGGACTGAGCCCTTGCAATTAACACCGAACACTCGAACTATGAATGGGAACAGTGGCTCCAAAACTATTTCAAGCTGCACAAACTCTGACTAGAGAGTTTTTAGTGTTTGATTATTAAATCAAGCAACAAATGCACAAGAATATTATTACTTAAATTTAAAATATTTTTATAACATATATATAATTAAGTTTTGCACGTTAGGTTACTATAAAAAAATATATTTCAATTTATTATTTTCACTTAACGGCTACTTTTGTTGAGTACATTCAGATTTGCTTCCCGAATATGAACTGATTTATCTAACTGTTGCGGTCGCTTAGCAAACTTCGCTTTGAGAGAGTTTGAGTCAAAATTGAGTGAAGTTTGAGCTGCGTCAGCAATTATGCGTGGGATAGTACTCTGATGGGAACATTGACAGTGGCGTGATATTTAGGGTGAATTGTTTATGTCTACCAAAGGGGGACAGTTTGATCTTGACCAATGTCGATGTTATCACCAGGCTCTTTGTTTACAATATTAGAAATGTTTATAATTGTGCTTATGCTTATGTGCTAAGTTATGTTAAAGGGTGGGTGCGACTATGGATATGTCACTCCCCCAACCATTAGAAAAGTGCCTGTCCTCAGGTGTTTAAGTTTGGATATAGTGTAACATTTTCTTCTTTTACAATTGGTATATCTCCTATTATTGTAGGTGTTTCTTCTACTTTGGGTTTTTTATATTTTATAATTAATTTCTTAGGTATGCTTTTGAACTTATATGTCAAATACAGTGTTAAACTTATTAATATGATTACAAATATGGTTATTGTAATTATCTGGAATACATTGTTAAATTTTGTATGTGCATTTATAATTTGTTTCGTTTGTACAAACGAAAGTGGTTCTAATTTTATAACATCATTGCTTACGTAAATGCTTTGAGTATAATCTAACATATTGTTTGAAATTGAAATTTCATTAATTTGCAATGAACAATTAAAGATTTTTATTATATTGTTTCCTTCTATTGTTATTTCGTTATTTATACAATTATGGTTTAATATAGTTTTTGGTAAATTCCAAGTTAAAATTATATTTGGTTCTATGTAGTTGATTTGAAAATTTTGCAAAATTTTAGTATAACTACATTCTGATGTTATTTGGTTTAAAATTCCTGTTAAACATTCATTATTAATTAATTTTTTTGTTTCTCTGCTATAAACTTTTTTATCTTGGGTAAAATATTTTTCATGAGCTATTTCTGTCAAAATATTATTATTTTCATCCGGGTATGGAATTATTTCGAATACCGGGCTTTTTATTATTTCTCGAGGAATATGGGATATTATAAGTATTTCGTTTGTATCTGATTTAAACCAAGTGGAAGTTTTTGTATTCAACAATTTCTCAGAATTAACATGCAACAAATAGTCATGTTTTAGTAATTTTGGGTTAAAAATTCCTAATCTTGTGAGCTGCATTCCCATCTCAATGTCTTCTATATATTCTGTAAAGTGTTGTAAGTTAAATATAAGGATATCTAATTTCTTTCCTTTTTGTTTCTCTTGATCTAGTTCGTTCATGATTTCTATTCCTTTGTTTATAGCTTCTATTATGTAATTTAATTCGTTAACCTGAACGCTGTTTTCTGCTAAGTTGCTTATTTTTTGTTCAATTTCTGCTTTGTCTTCTTGATTTAATGTTCCAAATAAGTATTTATATGCTGTTCCTACTATGTTAACTAAACCTCTTTTGCTACGTTTGGCTATTTTTAAGCCGTTTATTTCTCTGTTTAATTTTTCTACTAGGTATTCGATTTGTATAAGGTTATTGAATTCTTTACTTTGTTCAATTAAATTGTTAAAAGTTTCTTCGGTTTTTGTTGAGGTTATTTATTAGTTTTTCTTTATTAGCTTGAGTGTCATACTCTGGTGTACCTGCATATATGAATATGTCCGCTGGTGTTCTGTTAGTCGTTTTGTGCTTTGTTTTATGATTGTACGTGTAGAGTATAGTTTCAAATTTTGTAAGTTTATTTTCGACGTCTGAGTCGCTGTTAATGATTCTTAGTTTTTCGTTAACTGTCTTATGAAATCGTTCTACGTC